GGGAGGGGGGGGGGATGTAAAGAGGTCAGTGGTATTTTCCTGGATACGCCGGCTTTCCTTCACAACCAAAACCTGTCACGTCCCTAAATTACCAAAGCTATTAAAAGGACGTAAAGCGCAAAAAACAAGCCACCACAAATTGTTATACTGAAGACTTTCTGCATGCTATTGGAACTTCTAAGCTCCTTAGGAAATAAACCTGGCCTCGGGGAAAATACCAACTTGCTTTCTCCCGACACCCCATACGTCAATTGTTCTAGGGTACATATACAGAGGGAATAGCACATGTAAGACACACTATTCACTTGTTTACCTAATAATCGGTACTAATTGGGGCACATAAAGACCCCTACGCGCTAACACCTGCACAAACAAGAGTGATTTATATAAGTTAAATCAATTGTTTAATAATTGTTGTAAAATAAATTAACTTTTTTATTTAATATATTAAGTTTTGAAGAGGTGTGGCTCTCTAAACGTACGCTCAATCAAACATCGATTTGCTTCTCCAACAGATTTACGCCAACTTCTTCAAACATACTTAAATGTACATTCCGAAGATTTGTCTTTGTATAAATATAGCCCATACAGTAAACTTTAAACTTGTGTTGAGAATGAACCTTTCGGATTCCCTTTTAGCACAAAAGACGTTCGGAACTCCACCATTACAGACTTGATAGCATACAGAATCATGTGTCTATGAGAGCGTTAGATCCGTACTCGGTTACCAGGATACAACAATCCGGGTATTGCTTTGTACATGTGGACTTTATACTGTCACAGTCATATGGACAGACTGTTACGAGAAATGCGACACAAAGTAATACAGTTCGGATCCTTGTTTTCATTATTTTGTGTCGCAGGTTTCAATGGAATGGATGATTAAAATGTATTAAAGATAGACGCTATGACGTAATGCATGACGTCACACACTTTTTCGTTCAAGGAATGGTATGATGAGAAGCTGAGCTGGGACCTACGTAACTATGGAGGTCTGACCAGTATACGTATTCCGTGTAACCGGATATGGTTACCGGATGTCGTCTTGTACAACAGGTGATTGTCATGCGCACAACAGTGTTAAATGTCTCTTTTTTTCGTCACTGAATTTGTTTGTCCAAGCAGTGGCATGCTTATTAACGAAGTACAATTTTACATTATATATTATATATTGATAATGACCGAGTACGATATTAATTAATGCATATATTATATATATTTACAGAAGTATCATACGAAATCGTAAACACAAGTGCAGTGTTAAAGAAAACGAGCAAGCTCAGCTCCCGTTCTTATTTTCATTTATCCTTTTGTATCAATAGAGAATAAAATACTTTATGTAACATTTTTCTGGATTAATTGTCAACCAATTTCTTTTCAGTGTCGATGATTATACATCCGGGTACATGCCAAGCCTCGCTATGGTTCACAACGATAGCCGGGTATTTTGGGGTCCTGTCGTCCGGTTTAGAAGTTCCTGTAAAATTGATATAACGTTTTTCCCATTTGACGATCAGATGTGTAAACTCAAACTAGGATCCTGGGCTTATCATGGATTTCAGGTAAATAATGGTTCAGAACACCTTAACTTTATGAATTTCGAAAATTAGAAAAGTACATGTCAATTCCAAAAAAATATGTAAATTATGANTTCCAAAAAATATGTAAATTATGCATATTGTGAACAGTGCCATTACATAAAAGAGATCGATGTGGCTATCGATGTTACGGCAAATATCGGGGACTTGGATATCCACCGGGAGAGTCTACCACCTTGTATCTTGAGAGACACACAGAGAAAGCTGCACCCTTTAAATTTAGTAAAATATTTACAGTATGCCGAAATTTAATCACACTGCTCCATACTGCTGTTTCATCAAAGTAGATCTTTATTTACTACGCGTAAGGTAAAATAAGACACAAGTCTTATTGAGAAAATCTTCTGTTCCAAGGTACCCACCGTCGTGCGATCCGTTACGAACGCGACGATTGGCCATTCGTAGTTGATCGTGGAATTTCTATGAAATTTCAGGTTTGCATACGAGGTGATGCGAGTCGATTTGTTTCGATACGATTTGTTTCGCTAGGATGCGATCTGGTCACGATTTGTCAATTCCAGGTGTCGCGATCTGTCACGGTCTGATCTCCCGTTCAGATAAGATCGCATACCTTCCGATACGATTGTTTCGATCGAGTCCACGATTGGGTCTCGATCTGACACGATCATCACGATCGAGTTCCGCTAATTAGGACGATCTGGTACGTGCAGATACGTTTCGATACGTTCATCACGAATCGATGCGCTCCCTTACGATAGGAAACGATTGTGGTCGCGATGTCTTTCACGATCATGATCGAGGCTGATCACAATTTGAGCTACGACTGGAACCCGACGGGTAAATATACAGCCCGACTGACCATGGACTTCAATGTTTCTTGAACTTTTACAGAGTTTTACAAAGTTTTCTTTTTTTTTATTCATGTGTTGAAAAGAGTATCTAATGAGTAAAGGGTTATATAAAGGTGACATGTCAAATATCAAATTACATACACAATTCAGTGTAACATAAAATAAATATTCATGCAGACATGTAAGTGAACGACTTTCGTTTTATTTTATTTTTTTATATTCTATTTCTTTTATGTTTTGTTGTCATAACATAATGTTCTATCGAGAGGAAGTGCACAAAGGCTCTAAGCATTACCAGCAAAGGAAGGTCACTAAGATGTGCTCTCTCCAGGAGTAGATCGCTGAATGAGACGCATTAAATCTTGTCCGGTATATATATGGGCACGAAAACTCATAACAGATTGTGAGCGTTCGTGTTAAAACGTAACTACTCGTATCTACTCTCATGTAATCGCATCTTCTCGTATCAACTCCTATCTGCTCGTGAGTCATTCGTGTCAGGTCTTGAGCAATGGGACCCGACATATCGTAACTGTTCGTTTGAGATCGCAACACATCTCAACAGAGCGTGGTGTTTGTCTTGTCTAAGATCGATTCCGATCACCACGATTAATTGCGATCTGTCGATGCAATACGATCTGATAAGATCTGATAGGATTACCACTATTAGTCCACGATTAAGACCACGATTTCAATTGTGCCGCGAATAGCGATAGTGGGAACCTAACATAAGCATCCGAATACACACTGAGACAGATCGTAATTTGTTTCAACTCCATTAAACATTGACCATACCAAAACCTTTCTTTTTGTTCTTGATATAAAATTATCTCAATTATATCTGCTTTCATAAATATTTTCCCCAGAAATGCGATAGTTCATGTTCCTGTAGGGTTTCATATGAAATGTACTTTTTGCGATATATTAGAAATAGATTATTTAGTAAAGGGTGGAGACCAAATTGTTGTAATGAAGTTAAGTTGCTGAAATTTCGTGTCGTAGATCTAAAATGTATAGAATTTATGACTGCAAATCAAGTTCGAGTACGCTTTATAGATGTTATAGTTTTTAGTAAGTTAAATTCATTTTGTATATTTTATAAACATATAACTACAATATCCAATTTCGCATAGCCAAAATATGTTTAACATAAAAACATTTAAATTTTCAACCATAAAACTTCACAATTGATCAATGACTTCTCTCTCATTATTTACTGACAATGCCAATGCGCATACGTTTTTTCAGGTCTCCATAATATTTTGTTACAACACTGTTAATGACAGAAACATAACCTTTAGGTCGCTTCCACTGTCAAACCATGTTCGTAGTTGTTTATGAAGATGTGAAATAGGGGATTAAATAAACAAACAAAACACTGCTTACACAAACAAACATATCGGTATATTTGTGATTATTTTTGTCCTTTTCATATTTCCGGAAGGAGTTTTATCGTATTACAAATATTAACCATGAAATTATTACATTTTCTAAAACCAAACATGCCTTTTATACATTCACGTACTCAAAAGCTTTTTTTTCCGGTATGTTAATCCGAGATGGACGAAAAATAGTGATATGATTCACATACGTCGCCATGTTGATGAGTCATTACCATCGCAAAGTACACCTTACCTGTACATGTATAACTAGTCGTTATCGGAAGTGGGTAGATACAACTGTAATGATACCACACCTCTCACTCTTTCATGTTCTAAGGCAGTATGTGATAAATATCGTAATCTGAAGTTTATAGCACAAAATGCTTCAAATAAAATGCAATTAATCTTAACTTCTCGCCTCCTAGCGAACTAATTTGATCATTTCTGTTTGAAAAAATACAAAGACGCGGTAATCATGTGTAAGTATTCGGCGTTTTGTACGATAGCCATGTTTTATCTTTTCATTACATCAAACACAATGTGTCAAATCATCTGGAAGTTAAATATATACCTTTGTAGTATTTTTCCTTTGATGATTCCGTCAAGGGAAATAACTATACATTAAATTATGAACTTTAATAAATGCAGGCATTGCAAAGAGAAATAAATACTTTCTTCTGTATAATGATGCTAAATGTTGCGAAATAAGTGTTTTGTTTTAAAAAGAATTCCACCTATTTGTAACATGTTAAGACACACGAGGAGATTTACAAATGAGATATAAAACCAGACTATTCATTAATCGGCGCAGCGATATAGATTCTACCGGCAATATTATTTGAACAGATGTGCTATACATTTGTGATTCTATCTTTAATGATTTCACTGTATTCGAATCTTATGGAATCATGTCTTTTACGTTCGCTCATATCCAAGCAGTCACTTCACGAATATTGCTATTAAGTATTTTACGAGAAATCATATACAAGATGTAACCCGGAGTAGTCAGAACAAAATACAGATTTGACCTTGTTCTTATATGTAAAAAACACAGATGAATAAGAAATGAAAAATAAAAAATAAAGAAATTAAAACCAAAAAAATAATTATGATAAGAAAAGGTATTGTATTTAAGGGATAGAGAGTGATATCAAAATGCAATCTTATAGAACTAATATGTGCATATCACGAGGGAAGTCAAGAAAAATGCACAAACTGTATGATGTTCTTTCGTTTCGAAGAAAACATGTAACAGACAGAGTGAGAGGAAATAACAGACGTCATTATTATTTATTGTTAAACTCTGAATTCGGGGAAAACATCATATTTTGTAATTGTAAAAACTTATTTATATGAATACATTATAACATTATGATTAATATGTAACGTATCGCTGATGTTTACTTTAATCTTCCCTTTTCTATTCCTGCTCTAGGTGAACGTTTTTAACCGCTCCACAACGATAGATTTGTCAAACTTCGTAGACAATGGAGAATGGGAACTAGTAGAAAACAGAGTTGAACGGAATCAGGTCTACTATAATTGCTGCTCCGAACCTTTTCCGGATGTGACGTTTTACATATATTTGCGCAGGCGCATCAAATATTACTTCATGAACATCATCATACCATGTATAATTCTATCGTTTTTGTGCCTGGCTGGGTTTCTACTTCCGCCGGAAAGTGGAGAGAAGATAACTCTAGGCCTATCTGTCCTGCTCACAATTACAGTATTTATGTTGATGGTGGCCGACAAAATGCCGCAAACTTCCGAATCTATATCCGTCATCAGTAAGTATAGTCCCATATTTCGGGATTGGGTGGGCTGTTCTTTCGTTGTTTTATATACCAATGTCTGTCAGGTTGTCCTGTTGTGTAACTATTTGGCTATTTACGTTCGTCCAGCATATTTGGTTCTTGTCTGACACAGTCTGTCCTCTCATCCTCAAGCATAAGTACGTGATTTAAGTTTTAATGTCCGTCTTGCAGTCTGCTTCAGTATTCTTTAGTCTGGATCTATGTTATATATATGACTTATGACATATGAATTATTACATCTTCTAGAAAGCGTTATTTTTCCCTTTAAAGGGTTTCCTGATTAAAGAATATCTTTCTGCTATCTGTTCACCTCGCTAATGTAATGTATTTCCTTTTTTCTTTTATTTACGTTTACACCTTCTTTAAAATACTGTTGCAATATGAAATGGATTAATTATATATATTTACATGTCTCCCTTCTTCAGCTTAGTAAACACCAACTGCGTATAAATTAGCGTATACGCAGTGAAAAAAGGCTCAGCGGATTGATACTTGTTTCAAATATGGCGCCGTTCACGCTTCAGCGAGATAACAGTCAAATGATAACCAATGCTTGGATCATTCACCATCTATATTCGGGATCTTTAATGTCTAATTATACAACTAAAAAAAGCTGAGAAACTTCTTATTCCATGGATGCACATTCAAATTTCTTTGGCGGTCAACAATGGCGGATTCGTTCTGACTGCGTCACTCCATGATCAGTGCGTCAATGCGCGTACATGACGACCGTTGTATATGAATAGAAAAGTTTGAAGGGCTATCACATTGCTTAAATTTAAATTTAAAAAACCATGAAAGGAAAAAACTAGTGTTGTTAACGGCGTATTTTCTAAATTTACTCATATATCGATGTAGATTAACTGGACCTATATTGTCCTAGCAACCACAGCTACCGTAGTTACCATCGTGGCAACCCGCTTCGACATTTTTCCGCGTAGCATTTAAACATTAATACTACCGTATACGCGTTCAAAATGAAGGTCAATCCTTAAATGAACTCACAATGGGGCAATTTTTGTACATCACACTTTTTACTTCGTATTTCTTTTGTCTCCATTTTCTGACCAATTTATAAGCATTGTTTCTGTAACAGAGTTCATGGTATTCTGCGACCTTGGTCTGGTTTACTTGCCTTCCGCTCTAGAATGAGGAAAATGAAAATTTTCCTTAGCCGAGTTCGCCGAAAAACGCCTTATTTTGTTTAACGTCCTATTGACAGCTTAGATCATTTAAGGATATTAACCCATCAAAATGGCCGAGAACACCCGCTTGAATGGGTTTTAAAGGAATCTTGTTGTGCTACATGTGGACTATGTTATGTAGTGACACGTACCATTACTAATTTAAGGAAAGGTGTCACCAGTCCCAATGATTTCAGAAAAAAAGATGTCCTACATCAGCAATAAGGGTTGAATAATCTCACGGGGGATATCATACACTTCATTAACTTACAGGGTAATTTGTTTACAGATCTGTAAACATACGAACTAAATGTTCTAGCTTCATCGATTCCGAATTGGACTACAGTTTCGTCCACACTTTGTCTTTTTATACATTTACATTGTACATCTCATTGACATAAAGTGATACATACGTCTGCTTTCTCTATTTATCACAGGTATATATCTGATGGTCGTTTTGTCCATGAGTTGTATGTCAGTCCTGACGTCAGTGTGGATATTAAGCATACACCACCAGCGCGGGAAACCAAAACGAGTCCCAACATGGCTACGTGTAGTCGTACTGACCTTCATCGCTAAATGTTTATGTGTAAATATACGACTTTTTGGCACAAAAGATAGAATATTAGACTACCGGAACCGGAAAAGAAATAAAAACAAAAAAATTCGAGTCGCAATGGAAGATCCGGAAATTATTCGAATGGATGCGAACGTAAGAGATCACTTTGACATCGAGAATAGCATGTCAACAATCGAAAACAATATTTATAGGGAAAGTTATCTCGAGCGCGAGGACGCCATTAAGGAGTTGATTGATTTGCTACAGACGCGCCACCTGGAGGAGCTTTATGAAGAAGAAGTATACAAGGAATGGAGAGACGTCGCCTTTGTTCTTGACCGGATGTTCTTCGTTCTATTTTTACTCATTACAACCATATCAACCGTTTGTATCCTAGAGATGCGACCTTCTCCCGGTAAACACTAACTGATGACGTTGATACAATATTCACATACATTGTCATTCTCACCAATATGTAAATTGGTACAAATGTTGAAATGTGAAATTGTCATAGTAATGACGTCATTAGGCCAACAAGACGTACTCAAGTTTTGATTTTGAAATATATACTCATGTAAAGTGTAAATTGAAATTTGTCTTCCATGATTGTCAAAACTACTGTTTTATGAAATTGTTTACATTGTTTGAAGTATGCGTGGTAACGGCGATTGGGGTACGTCATTCTGTGATGAAAGAGGATGTTTACAGGGTGAACGAGTCTGGACGTGTAGTCAGTGTTGATGTGACCATCTCGGGTAAATTTATATGTACGAATGGTATATTTCACTATATCGTGTGTGTTGTGTATAATTTATTCTACTGTGCTGTGATTGTCAAACTGCAAAAGAATATGTAACGGAATTAATTTGCCACTAATTCATTATTATAGCATATTTTACTTTCCATACAGTCATTGTGTATTTCTTGACAGTAAATGTACTCTTTAAGCAGTAGATACAAGTTTCTGGAAGTCAATGTGGAATGATGTAAACAGTCAATATAAAGCCCAAGGCAGGTTCTGGAACGCAGCTAGTTGCTTTTTTATCTTAAAAATAAACTGTATGACTTGAGAAAATAGGCATTGAACCTTTCACCTTTTTACAGTGAAAACACGTATGAAGTGCTAAATTTGCCATTTGAATTTTCGAACAAACGAGAACTATTTTCAACAAAGTTTTGTTATAAACCGGTACTTCTAAATGAGGTACAGTATCATAGAGGCGTATTGCTTGTCTGCGTTATGCAGGTAACATGGTATTATATTACCTGTCTGGATTGCTGAGAGTCGTAAAGCTTTGTGGATGTGCTTTCGATCCCTTTCAAGTGTGATTATATTTGAGTTGGATTTATTTGGGTAAGTTAACAGAGAAGTTAAGGCTAGTATACACAATTAGTTCTGCACTTCGTTTCGATTCTAAAAAGCTGTCAAACTAAATTAAGGATATATGCCTTTTTTCGCTTTCATTTTGATGCTTTCTTGCAAAAGATTTCCATTCTGCGACACAAGAAAACCTATTTTTATTCACTAAAAGTGATCAGGCTTTTTATTGGTAAAACATGCAAAATATCAAAAATATCAAACTGAAATTGTTAAGAAACGAACATTTTGATTTAACAAAAAGGAGTTGTTAATAAAGAAATAATTTAATGAAGTTTAGGTGAGTGAATGTTTTGAATGTCTATTCTACCCTACTTGTAGAACAGTTTTATTATTTAGACTAAATCTGCAGTCGACACAATGAAACATTTAGAAACTTGTAGGAGTTATCTTCCTTGATACAGTACAGCATACATGCAGGACGTAGACAGATATGCTCAGGCACATGGCTTCGTCTCGTTCAACCAGACGCTTGATCACTGCGTAGCTTGCTCAGACAACAATAGCAAGAGTCTGGTTGAACAAGACTAGCATAGGGGTACGATATGATTGATCATTGGTTTTGTTTACAGAATATCAGTTACTGGATATTTCTCTTTCGGAAGCCACTTCTAAATTTCATTTATCGCAAATTTCTTCCTAGTACTTTATTTATGAATACATACCTGCGTCATTTCAGTTACGCAATATTCGCTGGAAATACATAATCACAGTCGTCCGGAATACCCGCACCAGAAAGTAAAATTATAGCGCGTAACAGCATTAATATTAAAATTTAAAAATATCATATCAACATTATTCGGGGTACCGGTGACTGATGTTCTGTAAACAAAATTAGTATTTAGTTTTTGCGTGCCCTGTTAGTTAGGCAACGGACCAGTATGCCTAAACCTTTTTCAAACAATTTATGAACAGACGATTTCAAAATCTGATTGAACATTTCATGTCAGAGCAGATACATCTGTTGGAGAAAATTGACTTCTTTAATTTCTAATATCAACATTTCACCTTTCAATGACGATAAAAATGATTGGACGCCAGGTTTAAAGCCTTTATAAAGCATTCAAGCTCCCTTTCTTGGTGACACATGGACCCACATAACATATATTAACAGTAAAATAATGATAAAGATATATCATACTTTCTTTACTTAGGTTTTCTCGTAATAACGAGCATTACCGGCTCTTGAACCTCTAAAAAAACAAACATGTCAAAGGTCAACCTGTGTCGATATCAAACAACAGGTGAAACACAAGCATTTAATTATCTTAGGAGATTCATGGTTCCACTTGCCGCAATACGTCCGGTAGACTCGCCATTGACACTACCACATTATTGTGAAAGATACAGACGCGCGAAAGGTAGTCCTGGTGTAGCTGATCCAGTGTCTAATTGAAGGGCGTTGACATATACATGTAGGGGCATACACAATTACAATTCAGATACAAAGGTTTTACCCTAAGCATGTGACCATGAGTTACATGTATCCAGAGTTTTACAACACTTTCACTCTGTACAGTAAAAGTATATGCAATTTAAACAAAATCATTTGATATATGTAACGTAATAGGAGAGGAAGAAGTGTAAGGCCAGACCGAAATTCGAACCCGGGATCCACGGAACTCCAGACGGACGCTCCAGTATTAGAGCTACCTGGTCGCCGACGATCGAACCAGTCAAGTTGCATTACATTCCTCCCTACTTTTTCCAAGACAGCACTCAATTACTTTAAACTCAGGTTCGGATATCCTCTTCCGAAGCGACAGCCAATGCTTAAACAAGGGTTGGCAAGCTCACCAATTTTGTAACGGAGGCGATTTCGATGCAAAGGAAAAGAGTGTGACATTGCGTTTGAGTCGAGCCGGAGCTCATTTAAATTGACACGGTGTTGTATATGTAAAATAAAATAGAACTATTTGCAATTGATAATTTGAAACAATTATTTTCAGCCATTTTTCTTGTCATGTTCAGTCCAGAAGAGCTACATAGGTGTATGTGATGATCTGTATTTATGATTTGCTGGCACAGCTGCATTGTTCCACATACCTATTAGTTATAGAGTTCTAGGTTCTCCTTTTAATTTTGAATGTACCGCTATATATAACAATAATTATGTGCTTCTCAAAAAATGTGTTTTCAATGTTACAGAAAATGTATATAGATGTGACGTCATTTTCGATAGCGTACAAGAACCATGTTTATGATATCCATTAATGAAATGAAGATATGTGCCTCATGCTTAAATTTGATCCTGACAATTGTGTTTATCCCGATGTTTGACCTTGACCTTCGTAGATATAATAATATTTTACTTTAATATTATGAATGCATTGATGCTTTAAATTGAACATTGTAAATATATCCGCATGTATCGTTGACCTATTTTATTTGGACATTGACAATAGCCTTTGAAAATAATGTTCGACCTTGACCTTTTTGTATATACCAGTTACTGACCTTGATCTTGATAAATCACAAGATTGATAGATTCTCGTTACGCTCATATGATTGGTCTTTTAAAGTTAAATATTATTTGCGCAGGAATTGAAATATTCAATTAAATCATAATTTTGTAATATTGAATCAAATTCCTATTTTTATTCCGATGTCTCTTGACTGTGTGAGTGCTCACAACGAAATGTATTGTGCAACATATATATGAAAAAGGGTTTATTAATCAATTTCGCCACTTTGAAAATGCGTGTCGTTTGCTGTGAGTGTCAAATGCTATTATTTTGGTTTGTTTGTTTTAACGGACACTGTAAGGACTCTTTCCTGTCGAAGAAAATGTTCTTTTCCCATGCGATTGATTTCATATAAATGTATATTTCTATAACTTTCCAAATGCTGATATGATAAAATTATTTTTCCAATTAAAATAATGCAATTAGATATTTGCATATTGTTCATGATAATGATTCATTCAATATTATGGATTAACCAAGATTTTAGTAGTGACCTGGATATTATATATAGATCATCACATAATGTTTTCAGGGTTTGTCTTGAGAATAATTTTCTAATCGCGAACACGTTGGTAAAATGGAGAAGCCATTGCAAATTGTGATATTTAGCACATGCAAGTGATGAGAACAGTGTTCGAGAGAAAAAACCTTGAAAACATTGAGCGATAATCTGTTTATTATCTATATATTACTACCTTATATATTTCTCCCTTAATTAGAAGAACACTAAACGCCATATTTTCCAAATTATTTCTTACTGTAGACTAAATAATATATCCCCGATCTATGACAAACGTAAACAAATAGAATATTTGCGCGGAGGTATACCATCAACCTTAAAACTAATTAGAAGAAATATATTTTAAATATGTTTATCGGCATTGATTTCTCCTTATTACATATTTACGCTGAACATAGTATTGCATCCTCAAAAAATATAGTTTTGAACTATATATTGATTTGTTTATGACGGACTACTTTCTTACCTGGATCACTTTTGTGTGGATACTGTTTCCGGTTCAGAACCTCAACTGGCGTGAGCAGACGTTCTTTTTTTTTTGAAAAAAACCCGTTCCAAAATGGGTACAGACCAATCGCCGATATAAATCAACTTACCAAGCAAACAATAGCAGGGGTCTGATTTTAAAATATACAGATACTGTGAAATCAGTTATGTTCTCGGGGCTCACATTTCATGGTTTATCGACAAAACACCATTTCGTGGATTCATGAGTTTATGGATAACGAGTACCCACTCGAACAGAGAACTTTGTTACATACTTGCAATTAATTCGTGGAAGAACATTACCCTAGAAAATGAGTGATTTCACAGTATGTGTCAGGAACGTGTCTTCAAACGTTATCTTTCCACAAATCTTTCCACAAAGGTCAGCTTTCTGTAAAAGAATTATACTCGTCGTTCTTACTTGCTGTCATTATTGGCAACCTGCCAATATCGACCACGTGCATATACAGTTTATTGATCATGACCACTTGTGAATAAAGACTGTTTTTCCCTGTCCTATATATGGTCGTAATACAGAGGTGTGTTTTACTGTGAATGTCGTTCATAGAAAAATTACACTCAGAACTTTTCCGGGAAAACGTTGTATACCGATAAAACCGAATCGATGCTTTTAGCTATAGCCCGCCATTAATACATTGTATATACAGATTTTATATTTTTTGCGTGATACTGGAGCCACGCGCCTGTACATTTAGCGAACATGTCATTTCTTAATATTTTCATTTAGTAAGGAATAATAAAATGTTATATTCTTTCTATGAGTATATCGATTTGTGAGAGTATTACATCAGATGATATCTAAAGTTTTTGAATATGAATGCATACCCTGAGCACTAATGCTCTGATTGAGTGACTACGAGATCAAAACAATAATTCTTTAAAAAGTACACTTTTCAAAACGTTCCCTGGCACTTTAATCAACGCTAATTCATTATTTTGGTAAATGACCACCGGAGTTGTTTCCCTTGTCGCGGAATTCTCCTAATTGGGAGAAGAAATCAGACTTCGGACACTTACGAGATAGCACGACAGTTAAGACAGCGCTCCAGGATTTGCCTATATAGCTGTGTGTCAATCGCTGGACTGTGTGTCTGGGCATGGAGTGTGTGTCCGGAAGGACGGAGATGAGTGGCTGTCGTTTGTATATGTGTTCTTATGTAATGTAAATGTAATAAACTACTACAATATCAAAGAGAAGAACGTATCACCATTCAATTTGTCTGCGACACATGTTGGAGTTATACAAATAGGTATGCAACGTCATTGCAGTTTGTTACTAAAACAATCAGCTGATTTTGTCATACGTCAAATTAGATGTGAGGGTCTCTTAATGTTTATAGTGATACATTTGTAACATCTACAATTGAAATAGTCTACCAATTGTGTGGAAGTACTTGCAAGTCTGGAGGCATAGATGGAGATTTTTCATTATATTTAGAAGCATATTTTTTTGTCGTTTCTTTGACTCGTTTCAGTTTACTGTTGGAAGTCAATATGGCGGCATAATATCTTCCGGTTCTGACATGTGTAAATAAATACAATTGGATCAAAACATGTAAACATGTTGAGTCTTATTTATATGTTGTAATATAAACGAGGTTTTGTTTAGCGTATTTACTTCGCAAAACTAACGAAGACATACCAATAATTTAGGCGATGATGGAATGCAGAAGTAATCACTTACTTATTTCTTACTCCCGCTAATTTCTTTAGCACAGATGTAAGTAAAGATAACAGGTGTGTGCTATTAAATATACCATTTCTGTCGTAAGTATGTACATTTCAATTTATAGTCAAGTGACGTTAACATGAATGAAAATCTTCTATTGACGATGTTGGTACACAAATAAAGTACATCGTAAGAGAAACAAAATGTTTTCAATTTCCCTTAATTCCTTTATATTTCTAGATTTAATCAGCTAACATGTTCAAAGGGCAAATACGCGTATGCCATGGCGTAGCGTCCGTCGTGCGTCCGTCGTCTGTCGTCCGTCCGTCAACTATTCCTTTAAAACGCTACTAGTCCTGAACGGCTTAGTGAATTTGCTCTGGAGCATCCTTGGGCCAAGGGCTCTTAAATTTGTATAAACGGTGTGCGTGGCCCCCTAGGGACAAAGAAGCGGGGCCCAATAGGGGAAATAGAGGTACACATTTCAAAATCCTTCTACTACTGTAAGGATTAAAGGATTTCATACTAATTGAGTCTGTAGCATCATTTGGCCAAGGGGACTCTATTTTGTAAAAAAAACTGTTGGTGTGGCCCCCCTGGGGCAGAGAAACGGGGCCAAATAGGGAAAATAGAGGTAAACATTCAAAACCCTTCTTCTACCGTAGGGATTTAGGTATTTTATCCAAAAATA